ATGGTCAAATGGCAAAATCAAAAGCTCAAACAACTGTCATTTTCCTTACTTGGTACATGCATTCCTTATTTGTTTGTTTTGCTCACACATTGTTGTCAATATTATAGAATTCAATGCCACTGTTATATAAGTGAGAGGAAGAGATAGCTATAAAACTAGGTTTAACCCACCATTTCTACATCAAGAAATGCCTGTACCAATTCGGGACTATGACAGTTGTTTTCCATTCGTTAGATCTGCTGATTTTGCCATTTGCTTAGGGACTTTCCGTTTTGAACTTTCCTCGGAGTTCAGTATTTTTGTTATTTTACACTTTTTTGGAACTTAAATGACAGCAGTACAAGAAGGAAAATTAGGATAGTGTAGAAAGTATTTTCAAAATTCATCAAAGGAAGGAAGATGCAACTGTTGGTTGTTTCTGAATGTAAATCAATAAACAGATTAATTCATTAACAAATTAAATCAAATCAAATATTTTATTGTCGTATAAACTTTACAGTTTGTGACCAACATGTATAAACATATATACATACATATCAAAGATACACAATAAAAACAGCATCAAAATTTATAAAAACAAACAAGCTGTTAAGAGTCCCCTGCCCTCAGTTCTAATGACTTTTTTCAAGAAGGATTCTAACTTATTTGTTTGTAAAGATGTTGATGGATTTAGTAAATGAATTTTTTCTTCTTCATTTAAATTATTAAAGTTATTATTTTCAGTACATATGTGTTCAAAAAAGGCATTTCTTAGTGTTTTATTATAATCACAATAGAGTAAAAAATGTTTCTCATCCTCTAGTATTTTACATTTATGACAAAGTCGTTCCTATCTTGGGATTTTAAAATATCTCCCCTTTTCAATTAAGAGGGAGTGATCACTTAGTTTAAATTTAGTGATCAATCTACTTATCTAAAAATTAGATATATTTAGATAAGATTCTAGTTTGCAATCTTTTTTAAGTTTTTTTTATAGATAAAATTTACTTTTATCATCAATGTTTTCAAATTTAGTTTCAATTAAATCTTCATATTTGTATTTCATTTTTAATTTAATATCATTTTTTATTTTATTTACATCTTTTATGTCCTTACAAGAAGGAAGAATATTAAGGTCAATATTAGTCTCTTCAACAATATTGTTTGCATATGTATACCATGAATAAGTTCCCGTCAAATCTAGAGACTGTGCTAGAGAAAAAGCTTCCTTTATCAATGGATTAATATTATTATTATATAGTCTAGCTAAATATAAAAGGGTTTGTGTTTTAATAAAACATTCTATAGGCAATCTTCCTAGTTCAACTCTTGCTCCTAAATTGGATGCATTTTTTTCTTATTCCTAGAGTAGATTTACAAAATTTAAGATGCATATTTTCAATAGGGGTTTTGTCTGTAAAATCAAGTTGATTAATTTGTTTTCCTGAAGATAAGGCTCTGTTTTTGGCTCTATGAAAAGAAATATATTTATCCAAATATGTTACTTCTGAATTATAGGTCATAATTGGTTTTACTAAAGAATCAAAAAGATTATTTTACAATATCATTTATGAAGACATTAAATAAAGTGGGGCTCAGGGTGTCTCCTTGTTTAAACCCTCTAGCAATATTAAAAAATTCTGATACATAATCTTTGTATTTCAAAGATGATTTAGTATATTAACAACAAAAACTAAAAAGTGCAAAATACTTTGTACGAATTATAGGAAAAATATAAAATCCAGTCTATAAACTTTATACTAAATTTCAAAAGTTTGCTGGAGCAGCTTAGTCTAAATTAGGGACATATGGCATTAGAAATTTAAATAAAAGTTAAAAATGAAAAAAAAAAATATTGACTTAAAATTTGAAATCAGTTGAAAATGAACAACTGTTGGAAGAATTAGGTGAGAAGGTAGGTCTAATGTTTAATGAAAATTTCTTAATGAGAGGTATTCGAAAAATACGAAATGAAAGAGAGGATTTATGGGAAGATTTATTTGAGAAAAACAAAAGCTGAAAGGCATACATTTTCAGAAATAAAACTGTAAATGAAAACAAAAAAAAATAAAACAACAAGATAAAATTGAAATAGAAAATTGTGAGCACGATAGAAAAAGATTTCAGATGAGCAAATAAGAAGTCTGGAGAAAGTATTAAAGGAATTCCACAGAGTGACATAATTCCTTCTTTTGAAAAAATTAATATACAAATGAAGTTGGAGAATGTTGCATGCAGTTAATAACAGATGTTAATGTTAGTTTGAATAAAGTTCCAATTGCTATCAAATCTGTTTTTAAAAATACAACAGGAAAGCCACTAGAAAGGGTAGCAAACAAAAATCTAATAAGAAGTATACTTGGTCGAAATCAATATAGAAGCTTATAAACAGGATTGCGAAGCCATGTTAACAAATTGTAAGCCGTAAGAAGCAAAAGGTAATGCTCTGCTTCAAAATGCAACAACTTAATACCATGATCATTATAAATGTATGTAAGACACACTGAAAGATGGCTCAAATTCATCACGGGGTTTAAGTAAAATAAGAGGTTGTGATGCTGCTACATAAACAAAATGCTTAAATAATATGATAGAGCACCTAGCCAGGACTTACCCTAACTTTGACCAAGAGAGCACTGAGGTTAGAGCCAAGTTTATAACATCAATCAAATACTTCTTAAGTGATCAATGTGCCACAAATAATGTTTCAATGAAAACACAGAAGAAGAAAAAAAAATTGGAAAATATCTCTTACCAACAGTTATTGACAACTTTGAAGCTATGACTGAAAATGAGAAGTCTTGATTGACTGGGTCAATATGCATGTAAGTAACATTTTCTTGCAAAGTTTGGTACAGCAGCTGATAAAACTCTGAAACTGTTTGATGAGTCTATAACTGACAGTAGAAACCCTTTTTCTTTTGAAAATGATGAAAGTGGTCAATTTCTCTTAGCTCGAACAGCAGTAAAGGCACTTATAAAATGACGGTCATACAAATTATGAATTCTCGAAAATTTTTCTTAAAGGACGAGCCAGGAAAAAACTATTAATTTACATTTCATGTACATAGAATTAATATAATATTTCATGATGTGCTGCTGTTTACTTCCATAGAAATGATATTTTGGAGCTACTCCAGGATTACCCTAGAAAGGTTTCTTATAATCTGTCCTTTTTGATTAAAAAGTAAACGTTTGTATTGCTGGAGCTAGAGCTATGGGCATATACGATAAATGAGTAACTGCTTCTTTTTGGAAGATATGAGAGCAAGAAAGCGAAATCTTAGATTTAAAAATCATTTGCTGCAAATTTAAATATGTCTCAGTCAGTAGTCAGCTTATGGTTAAGAATCTTTTAGTAGGGCATGTATTTATGATGTCATTTTGTTAAATAAAGATGACATGTACATCGAACTTTTAAATGATACAAATGACCCCCAGCTGTAGTCTTTTCCCAAAGTAGAAGTTGAATTACTATGTGCACAACTGCAAATAATATTAGAAGGACAAGCACCAAGTCATGCAGTTACCTGGGGATTCATATTTGGAACATCAAATAACCTAATAGAAAAATGTCCCTGAATACAAATGCTATCAGTGAACGGGACCTGGCCATCCTTGATTTATTGTTTGTTGTTTAACGTCCAGTGGTAAAAATGTATGTTCAAGACTAGAACAGTAAATATATTAGGTAGGTCTTGTAATAGAGGCTGTCCGGGATGATGGGCGGGATAATTGAGACTGCCACTCGAATATTAGGGTAAAGTGGATAGGGATCAAAACTTTGCCTTGTAACAGGACAACTACGGACCCCTCACAGAGTTGTTGCAAGCGTTCTTAATGTTCAAAGAGCGTGGCACTCTCTCTACACGAAGCATCTGTTTTAACGTCCCTATGTTGACTGGACGCAGCTGCGTACTTGTACATCCCGTACAGCCAAACGGACGCCCCACTTTGGCAAGGGTTTCACTGCTGGTCGGTAGAAGACCTGTAGTCACCGTATTTCAATTCCCCAGTCACCCTAAGGGGCCTCTGGAAAAAGAGTGTATATTAGAATTAGAAGACTTATAAAAGACTTGCAAGGATTCTTGAGGTGCAACGAGGGCACTCCCTCTTAACGATGCATCGGATTTAACGTCCCCATTCTGACCGGACGTGGCTGCGTATTTATACATCCAACACAGCCAAACGGACGCCCCACTTTGGCAAGGATTTTATTACCCGTAGGATCCGGAGTAACCATAGTTTTATACCTCAGTTACCCTTTCTGGTGTGTTGATTAAAAGCGTGTTTGAAATCTGAGTACAAAGTCAAAATTTTTTAGTAAGTTTTTTAATTCACATTGTGATTTATTGAATTGTCAACATTGTGATATATTGAATTCTCAGAGTATTTTTGAACTTTTTAAATATCATTTTGTAATATTTTAATTTCAATTTGGTTTACAATAGCGGTATTTAGTTGGTTCAAAAATTGGCTTTAAATAATTCGGACCAGATCGCTCATTATACATGAAGATATATCCATGACGATACTCCGGTCATTTTCTATTTTATTTTTCTGAAGATTTAGCATTGTTTTTTTGTTACCGTGTATTGTCAAGCTTGAGTACACATTATTGTTTCTCAATCGCTGAATGTACGATGTTGTAACAAACTGAAGCAGCTGACCCCGTTTTTTTACCTTCAAATTCTAATGGCGGAACACCACGTGACACATTGGGTCGTTACAGATGAATCAAATCGCTCTAGGGCTAATTAGGTGAATTATTAGGCTGAAGCAATCATGTAATTTGTTTGCATGAGAGTTCTTTGAAACTGTTTATTTTCGAACTATGAGTTTAAATGTCCCTCTGGTATCTTTAGCCTCTCTTTTGCAATGAATTGGGAATTGATTTAACCGGAAACATCTTTCAAAAGTATGAAATTGGACATCAATGGAAATTTTAAGAAAGTTCAACAGTGGTGTTTTTTTTTGCATTACAATTCGAATGCCTTTTCTTTGTCAAATGAGTAGAATAATTAGATAGAAAATGATTTTTATTTCTATTAACCAATTATTCCACAACTTTCTCACAAAACACACACAAGAAACTGTCACCCCTTCTTATTACTTTATAGCACGTCTTAATTAAGATTCTGATTTCAAACTCTGGCGTTCCAAAAAGAGAGAGGAGGACGAAACATTCAGATTTTTGGACAACTTCATACACACTGATTTCCTTTTATACTTTGCCCTGTATATTTCTTATAGATCAAGAAACTGGAACCTGAGAATGGCCTCCTTGAAAATGATATGTCCTCTTTTTCATGCTTTTGACAGACCTCTATATCTTAAACATGTACCTTATCATTTATCAGACTTGTTGACCTTTCCACAACCTATTTCAGATTTCTTCTCCTTAGGGACGTTTGCAGTGTCTATCACAGGCACCGAATATAACTGTGTGGATTTAGATGAAGCACATGAAATGCAAATTAATTTGCAAACCAAATATTCACTGAATTCAACCACAAAACAGTCGTTAGCTTCTACTTGCTAATCATTACCTTTTAGAGCAAAAATCCTACAAAATTTGAAAAACAGCTTTTAATTTATCATCAAAATTCATCTATTGGGGAAATTTCTATCAGACAAATTGATGAGAAATACATCCAAGAATACATGAAAAGTCTTTATTTACAACTGGAACCAATACAAAATTACACCAGATATTTACAGGAGAAACATGCGCACCAAACATCTGACATGCTCAACTACAGGAAATATGGAGAAGAGGATTTTAAAAGTTTTATCAGTTGTGTAGTTCTAAAAAATAAAAAAGTTCCTAGAAAACGAAGAAACCTAAAAACACTTTCTGCAATCATTACAAAAAACAACCTACAACAAAAAAAGGAACTACAAGACAATAAAACTGTTATTCACTATTTAAGAAAGCGCAATTAGCTTATTCAAAACATTAGAAAAGCCTGTGGAAGAACTGCATCAATTAATAAAACTGCCTCGAGCTATATGTACTGCTGATGAACTACCAATTAAAGGTGAAAAATCCAGTGTTGTGAACCTCTTCAAATCACTCTAATCTTCTTCTTACACAGACATCCTTTCCTTTTCAAGTTCTAACACAATAGGTATTTTTTTGGAGGGAATGTTCATCATTAATTCTCGTCAACTTGGTTACCATATTTTCTCTCTTTAATATGCCAGTTTCTTATTTGACAAATGGGTTCTCTATTTCTATGCACAGTACAATGCTTCTGATATACATGTACTTTTTGATGATCCTGAAAGAAATGGTCCTAGCCCAAAGGATGTGGAACGTGCACGCAGAGATCTGGGTCACCAGCTTCATTTTGAAATTTCGGACTCAATATCTATTTCTGATTCAACCACTCTTCCTTCTGACTGGCAAAGGTTTCTTTTCAACAGACAAAACAAAAGAAACCTTGTACAGTATCATTCAGTTAAATTTTTAGAACTTTCAAGGTCACGCGATTTTGTTTTTGTTACAGCAGGGGGTTTTGAAGGTGACAACAAGGACAAGGCCATTGTGTTCTTGAAGACGAAATATTTGAATATTCAAAGTCTAATGGAAATCACGAAGAAAGTGATAGCAAAGTATGGTTGCATGCCTCTTCATCTCCTTGTACAAATATTTTGATCTACAGTCCTGATACAGATGTCTGCTTCATAGGTTTACCTCTGATTATGTCTGAAGATTCTCTTAAAAATAAAACAATTTTCATTCACTTGAAGGACAGCAACTTCGAAAAAAAATACCTTGACATGAACACATTAAGCAGTGAGATAGCAAATGATCCCTTGTTACAAAATATTGAAAACCTTCATAAATGCCTACAAAATCTGTTCATTGTAACTGGTTGTGACTATGTCTCTTTCTTCAGAGGATTTACTAACAGAATAGTTTTTGACAACTTTAGGAAACACTGTGATTTCATATCAGGTACAGAATTTCCAGGTTCTCTTGCAGAAACCAATCCCAATGGTCTTTTGGCATTTTATAGACTTATTGGTACGCTACACTTTTTGAATCACAGGACAGCATTTCCTGAAAACATTTCTTCACCAAAAAACCTTTTCATTCTCCAAATATCCCACGAAAAGGACGACCTACAAATTCATTTAGATTTCTTAGAGAAGATTAGAGAAAAAAATGGGATCGAATGGTCAATGAAGATGAGATGATTCCAACAGCTAAAGCATTAAAATTTCACTGGATGCTTGGTTGCTGGATATCTGATATGTGGGACAAAGCCCTACATTCCTATGTTTAACTTTTTTTATCATATTGAATATGGATGGGAAATGAAATGTGATTCTTGCTTGTCTATAATATGGGATACTACAGAAAACTATTCTCGAGTTGAACATACTGTCCTTTTTCTTACAAAGGGATGCAATTGTAAAACAGGTTGTGTCAACAACAGATGTCTATGTGAGCGGAAAGGCAATGTTTGTTGTCCTGGTTGTTGCTGCACTCTATGCAAGAATATTTCAGCTTCTACATCTTCACAAAATTTGCCTGTGCAAGTTTTAGTTGATGTTCAATGTCTTCCTCAATCTCCTGATATTCCAAATAGTACGGGTTATTCAAACTGTACAAATATGGGAGACCATCATACCTGGAATGAAAATGAAGACCTGTCATGTAAACATTTGACAATAGCATAGAACTACAGAATGTTTTTGAAGATACAGAAATGTTTTCAGATTACAATGAAAATGAAATTATTACTTCAATATTTTTATCAGAATTTGAAAGTGTAGGTGAAATCTTGTGTGATAATGACTTGACACCGCAGGAGATTGATTTTGTAGATTTTGAGTAAAAAAAACTTAATTAGGTTTCTCTACCAACATGTTTAAAATTTTAGACATTCTGTTGGTCTTTCATTGGAACATTTGCGTCATTTACTGTTTTATATTCCAGGAATATGACAAAAGTCTTGAAATAAATTATAAAGGGCAGAAGTTTTAATTTCTTTTTGGTATCATAAAAAAATGTCATGGAAGGTCTTCACAGGAGGTGGAGATGTGATTTACCATACTGTTTCAGGAAATAAATTAGTACCGGTAATTTTGTAATTCGTACATATGAGCAAAATTCTATTAATATTTTTTTTCAAAATTCATGAAGTCTTCATACAAAGACCAGCCTTTAAGTAATTTATTCATACAGAGGGAGAAGTAATTTACCATTTTTAAACTGAAACATATTCATAATTGTAAAAAATGTACATATTGACAAAAGTCTTTCAACGTTTTTTCCAAGTTAAGAAAATCTGGCTTTGAACAGTCTTGGATTAGATATATGATTAATTTGCGTAAGTACAAGATGAAATAATACCCATCCTCTTTCCACCAAAGAACATCCATATGGATGAATAACCTTAAGAGTCATAATAGATTCATTTCCACAGGAAGTAACAAAATGAATTATGTTCCATTGCATTGAATTTTGATGTTTTTTTGTCAGCTCCCATAATTTCCTGATGAGCTTTATGTTTAGTGTTTGTAATGATATGATGTTGTCATAATTAAAATTTGTGATCAGAATATTCATGTTAGGCATGTTAAATCAGCATGTTTGTGTTGTTTTTTAAGATTTGTTATTTTGCATGATTGGATTGTTAAGTTTTGTCTACATATATATATTTTTGTCTTCCGTACACTAGTTGGTCAATATTTTTCCATGATTTGCAGTGACCTAAAGGATGTTCGCTACCCTGTTTCAAAATTACAAAATTTACAAAATTTACAACCGTGACAAAAGAATGTAAACAAATGTGCACTGCAATGTAAATAGTAATAAAAGATTTTAAAGGAACAAATTAAATACACATAATTATTTAACAATTGTTATAGAACGTATGATTAACAAATGGGAACGCATGGAAAATATAAAAACAAAATGTTATGGCTCTATTAATTCATATATTTTTCACATGCTCCACCTGCTCTGTCTTGATTGTTTATCAATGTCACAATCCAGGAAAACTTCTGGAACACACTCGAAAGTTAATAAGCTTGCAATCAACAAGCACTGAACGAAATATTATTTTGTCTATAATACGTTATATATTCGTAATAAATGTAGAAAAAACGTGCATATATGAACTTTTTCCGGATAAATGCATTTATTAGTTCAATAATTTTGATATCTTGTAAGTACAGAAACTCGTTTCATATGAAAATTTTACATTAAGACTAAAACATGCACTGAGACGATTTTTAGAAATATTTTTTCAATTGAAATGTTTATTGATAGATAAAAATGTTTTATTTGACCGGCATTTATAAGTACTTCTATCAACTTTTTCTGTGCAAATTGCCGCTTTTCCTAAATACCATTAACATTGATCATAACATAGGAAAACTACGGGAAAATGCACGAATATGAAAATCGTCTAAAAATGTATGACGTCAAAGGGAGCGTTGCGTAATACGGCAAATATGGCGGATATTGCAACTCCTTGGTTCCGTATTTTTCCGCCGGAAGAAAATCCTGAAGACCCTGAATGTATTGGCCAGACAGAGGAGCTCCTGCAATTGCATATTTTATGCTCATGTTTACAAACAATCTTATGAAGAAGATAGTCCATGAACCAAACAGGTAAAAATGTTCGCTCTTCTGGCAGTTCTGGCTTCATGAAACTGATAAAATATTATTGACAGAGTATATCTATCTTGGGTAGGCTCATGGCTTTGTATATAAGTTAAAAATTCACAGAAAAACTTTCCGTCTGCATGTAAATTTCCTAAAATCTTATCTAAGGATTATTTCATCTCCCCCTAACACACCAACCCCTTAAGGCGCCCAATTCATGCAACTTACGCTAACAGTCGTTGGCCAATAGATTTTTAAAATATGACACCAGTCAAAGGTTACAACTACATTTGTAACATAGTAGATTGCTATTCTCGTTTAGCATGATATTTGGTGGACCATTAAAAGAGAAATACGCAAAAGATGTAGCTGAACTTACTTTAAAATATGTATATCTATATGGTTCGCCAGGAATATTACAAAGTGACAATGGCAAAGAATTCACAAATGCAAACTTGGTTGAAGTTGTGTCGATTTTCAAGACCCGGCAGTTACAAGGACGTCCCTATTACCCACAGAGCCAAGGACGCGTAGAACGCTTCAATAGAACACTAACAGAACATTTTAGAAAAAGACTGGCCTTCAAATTGTCAGAATTTTATTACAACTACAACAACAGGGTACACAAAAGTACAAAGCCTTCCACACCATATCAGCTTTACTTTAAAAGACCTAACTTTGCACCACCTATTGATGAACAGGTAACTATAAAAATGAATAGAATTTAAAAATAAATGGAGAATGTGTCCATGGGACACAGATAATGCCCCGCTTGCATATTACGTTAAAAGAGACATAACTCAAGAATGGTAAAGGTGACGCTACCCAAATTTGTACTTGATCTGAGTTTTGTGGTTATAAGCATTATGTTTAAGTTTCATAACATTTTGTTGAGTTAGAGAACAGGAACGAAAAATTCAGCATTTTTTTTTCCATTTGTAAAGGGGCATAACTCTAGAACGGCACCAACATTCAAACTTGATCTCTGTTTTGTGGTAATAAGCATTTTGTATAAGATTCATAAAGTTTGGTTGAGACAAACTTAAGTTAGAGAACGGAAACAAAAAATTCAGCAATTTTTCCATTTGTAAAGGGGCATAACTCTAGAAATGTAATAGTGATGCAACTGAAATTCAAACTTGATTTGTGTTTTGTGGTAATGAGCATTGTGTACAAGTTTCATAACATTTGGTTGAGGCAAACTTAAATAAGCATGATTAGAGAACGGAAACAAAAAAATCAGCAATGTTTCCATTTGTAAAGGGGCATAACTCTAGAACAGTAAAAGTGACGCCACCAAAATTCAAAATTATTCTGTGTTTTGAGGTAATGAGTAAAGTTAAGAGAACGGAAACCAATTTCGGGACGTACGGACGTACAGACGGACAAGGGTATAACTTAATGCCCCCTCTGTTATGGCGGGGCATAAAAAAAATATAAATATTAATAAAAAGTCACGAATTATGTTTTTTAAATAAATGATATTCATCTTGTCTTATTAATTTTAACTAAACTACACATTTTATAATACACTTACCGTAAGGTTTTATTAATTAGACGCGAATTTAAAAGCTGATTAACCATGTATGTATATCTGTCGTATATAAATCTATTGTAGTATCGTTGATAATATATACGTGGAATAAAACCGTTTCTTTTTTATATAGCTTCCATTTGTGCTCCTAACCGAAGATGAAAGAAAATTCCTAGCACAGGCTCACTTAGATGTAGAGGTTGAAGAAGAAGAGATTGATGAAACAGTACCTGAAAGTGACTTAAAATGAAAATGGAAATTTGGAGATATTAAGGAACATAGATGACAGAGATGTAACGTTTGAAGGTAAAACTATAATTTTTATTTACTAAAATAGCAATCTAAAAGTTTTTATTATTATAAGGCTACGGCGATATAAGTTAAACAAAGTTATTTTTTAATACATGCTTATGAAAAGCAATATTAAAATGCGTATTTTATATACTGTGTTATCATGTTATTATTCTATATATGCGTTAAATTTGCCACTGGACGTTATACAACCATCGATAGTATTGTTTTATTTGTTTAATCTAATTTTTTTAAAAGAAGCTATGGATATTGTGTCGGAAGTTAACGAAGAAAACCAAGAAGTTCTGGAGACAATCAAAGGAAAGCAGTTGGAAAAGATCATATAGTTACAGAAACCGGGGATACAAACTTCACTGCGGAAACAGATGATATTGCAAATTTAGAAGTCGTAAGTAATGTTTTAGTATGAGAAAATATTTTTGCTACATTAAACATGTGTGCATTGTGAATGTGCGTTTTGAAAAAAAAATGTTATACGCTAATTAAAAAAAATGAAGACTTAGGTATAGCCGTCAAACACCTTTTCACCTTTGAATAAATTGAAACGAATCGAAAAGAAAAATACTCGTGTAAATGCCTATGAGACAACTCTCCATCCAAGAAACAATGAATAAAAAGTTAACAATTACAGGTCAAAGTACGGCCTTCAACACGGAGCATTGACTCACACTGAACAAGCATTGTACAAGTGGTTCATATGACAAAAGCAAGGTTCACATTTTATTTAATAATACACAGGGTTTTAAAAGGCTTTATGATTTGTTTGTTAGACTGAAGGAAAATCTGTAAAAAATACTGGACTGATGAGTATTTTCGAAAACAGCAACTAGAGATTTATCCTCTTGAAATGTTTTCTGACAATTATCAGGACATCTTTACTCTGACTATTGGGGAATATTTACAATTCAGGACAAATCCAGCAATGAACAAAAGGACTGCAGTGTTTACATCTGGTTTCTGGAGAGAAGAAATATGAAAAAAACATAAAGAATGATTCTTCTCGGGGAAAGATTTTCGTTATTAAAGACATAATTACAAATTTTACATTTGAACTAAATAGATATCAGCTAAGACCAAAAAGTTAATATATGTCCCATTGTGATTCACAAATTCTTCAATTAAAAAAATAAAACACATTTTATGTTTAGCTATTTCGAATCATTTTTTTGTTATTTAAGGAATGACTGTAATATTTTTCTGTCTATAAAGAAATAACACCAAAAATGTGGTGCACACTGAATAACCCGCGTAGCGTGTTATTTTAAACTTTTCACCACATTTTTTGAATTTATTTCGAATAGACATAAAAAAATATTACAGATATTCCTTATAATTTAATTCTAAATTCCATTTTAAGTCGGAGTAAATCATAAAAAAAACGTTGATGACGTCACGGTCACATGACAAAATTATGTCTATGAGCTGATAGACAAAACACTGCCAGCCAATCAGAAGACGCGTTACATCCAAAATTAAATTATTCAAGGTAAAACATCTATAAATGTCAATGAAACAGCTATATGGACGAGAGACAAAATGAAGTATGTTGATTTTGCAAAAAAATATTCAATCTTTACTGTTTTTTAGTGAAAAAAATATGTGTAGTTTCATTTTTGAAGGCACATTAATAAAGTAACATGTAAACTCGTTATGCCAATAATTTATACACTGAATAATGTTGTGGTTGTTGAATGTTGTCATGGTACACAATGGATTTTAAAAAATACATAGATTTGAAACTGGAAAAGTTTCACCAGAAAAAAAACAACCTTTTTTTAATAAGATAGTGGCACAAAATGTCGTTGTTAAACACAATAAATTATACCTTAAACATTTTTATGTGGTACCTATACATTGAAACATTGAACAAAACGTTTTTAAATAGGTGTATGTATTTATAGCTTACGATACAGAATAGCTTTAATTCATTGTTGAAGGCCGTACATGTGTATCTTTAGTTGCTTGTATACATATGTCATTGTGTCTCAGGTTGTTTATTAACTTATATTTCGTACTTGTTATCAAGACGTAATGAGTAAAGGGAAGTAACGATAATTACTACAAAACAATTAAACACGGGATCAAGAAAAGCAAACAATTTGAAAATGTTGCAGTTTTACAATAAAATGTAAATAAGTAAATCCTGTTGCTTATGACTGTAAGTACAAATCGGATAACAAACCTTTTTTTTTAAACATATTTGCTTACTTATAGTTTTTGTTCCATCCCATTTTTTTCATTTTGTAACGATTTGAAACCCATGACGACGGCTTTAAGTTTTTTTTCTTTTGAAATAGATTTTTACACTGAGCATAAATGACTTTATTACTATATCATAGACTTTTTATTTATTCCATACCACGACACGAAATAAATATGAAACATAGAACAATAACTATATATAGAAAACTTGCTAATATGGCCGTACTACAAATTTTAAAACAAGTACAGACAAACATGTGCACCTGGAAAAGTTTTACAGCATTATAGGAACTAGATAACTAAATTCTAAATTCATTTTATGATTCAGAAAATAATAAAATTTTCTTGATTTTGCTAGGTCCCAAAATAAACAAATTTGGGAAAGAGGTTTGAGAAGCTCCCCTCATATGTTTTTACTTTATTCAGAAGCAGTACAGCTTATAAAATATACATTTTTACATTAATTCTAAATGCATCCGTGTCATAATATTCATATAATAAATGGACAATAGACATCTGCAAACGATAAGTGATCTAAACATGTTAAACTCTTTAACCGAGTGGACAATATCAAATGCAACCCAGGTGTTTATTTTTTTATCCTCTGCAGACTGGAAAAAAACGCATATTAAAGTCTAGGTAAGTTTTTAATTTTCTGAAACATAGACTACATTGAACTTTTATATATCTAGGTTCGGTCATGCCTTAAAACTTTCCTAGGTGCATCAGTTTGTCTGTATTCTTAGAAGATTTTGTAGTGTAAACACGTCAAAATTTTTCAATTCCTTTTGAGGAACCTTATAATCAGTTAAAATTTACCAGGTACATAGCGGGTTTGTCTGTACTCATTATGAATAATATAGTGGCGTAAATACTGCTATAGTTACCAAAAGGTTATGGTGTACATGAACGCGTTATTGTCCAATACAATACGAATAAACTGTTAAAACGGCTTCTCGTACAAATCTTGACGAAGCGAAATGTCCTAGTCAATCTACCGTATATTGATGAGTCAATGATACAAGACCACCTTATACTTCCTTGATTTTCTACTTGGTAGGAACGATTAAAATGAATATTGTAAAATTAAATCACATTCTCTCCTGAACAAATGTATATTATATTAAAATACAAGTCTTTAATATATTTACCTTATTTCACGCTTAATTGCTCGGCTTTTTGTTTTTTATATTTTACTGCATCTCATCCTTTCGGGACATCATCGTGTTGAGTCCGTCACAGTTGGAATATTTAAATGTACCTTTGCCAGTAGATAATGTCCAAAAGTGTCTTTCCAGATCAAAGTCATGTGATTGACAACTGTTTTACGAATGTATGGAGAGCTGTAACGAGAAAAGTTCTACCACTGCGCGTTATCTGTTACCTTGTTTTGATGTCTAATTAAAGGAAGAAGGGATGTCTAAATGTTTGACGATAAATGGTCAATATATGTTCAAATTTCAATATAAAAATTGGGGGTCATGGACCTTGATTTTTAGTTAAAATACATTGAAATTAACAGATTCATAGTTTTGTTTATAAAGGACATTTTTGTTTTCCATATTGAGGAAACATTCCGTGAAAGAAATTGTTAAAATTGAACATTGTCAAATAATTGATTTTCATAAATGGGTCTTTTAAAAAAATGTCGAATTTTTAGTACACCTCAGCTAAAAAATCTATTTTTAAAGGAAAATGCAGTGTTCACTGTTTAAATGAAAGTTTCTAGAATTTATAAATAGGGACATCAATAATAAACACGATTCAGATCGATTTTTTTTATATTAAAATATAGTTTAAGTCCGATTTTTACGTAATTTCTGTGCGTATGGTTTAGGGTAACACATTTCAAATGATTGTTTCCCTATTTTCTGATTGCCTGATTATCTGCAAAAAGAATTGTTTTAGAATTTTAATGATAATTCTAAGGAAAAATCACAGCCTCTTTGTTTTTCTACAAACTCAATTCAATCGGCGTACATGAAATGCATGTCTATTTTGGTATCGCCTGCTATATCAAACGTTATTTTTTCCTTCCCTATGGATATGGAATTATTCAGTGATGATTTCAAAAACACAAATTTTCCTACAAATGCAAAACAGCATAAAGTCAAAGAATTCATGGGTGAAGTGCTAAACATTAAGGATAACATTAACTTCCATGTAGTCCACACGCTAAAGACAAAAACAGATGGTACTCCAAGAAGTATTGTTGCCATATTCGAGAGGCGCAAGGACAGGAACAGAGAACTTACAATCGCCAGAGACAAATTACCAGAAAATCCTAGATATTCTGTCTATGAGCAATTTCCTTTCGAAGTAGCCGACAGAAGAACTGATACCAATTCTGAAAGACGCCAGAAGTAAGAACCACCATGCTGTCTTACGGGACGATAAACTTTACATCGACCATAAGCGGAACTACCCCCATCCCCCTAGATCGGAAAACCGTGATGTGACAAGAAGTTAGGGATACAGTACAGGAGGACAACCATGCAATGTGAACGACTTGAAATGTTAAACATTTGTGGTATAAAATCTAAATTGTTATGTCCAGAGTTTGTTGATCTTATAAACAAAAATGACATTCTTTTTTTTTGTAGAAACTAAACTAACTGAATTTGATATTCTTAATCTGCCTTGTAATTGTGTTTGAAAAACTAAAAACAGAAAAAATTTCCAAAAAGCATCAGGTGGTATAGCAATTGTTTACAAAAAGATATTTGAAAAGTATATTACATTTCATGAAACTGACTGTCAATTTGTTTATTGGATGCAGATTTCAAAATTGCTTTTTAATCTAAAGACAGATATTTTATTGGGTTGCATATACATCTTTCATCATGTGGTGAAGTACGTCAGAGTGATATTGATGTTATTGTTGATAAAATAGTCCAAAATTGTCATAATGCAGATATAGAAATTTTCAGCAAAGTTAAAAAGAGAAAAAAGTTTTAAAACACACGATGATTCTAAACCCTCAGGCTGGTTTAATAATTTATGTGCAATAAACAAAAAGGGTTTCCATAAAGCACGCAAGAGGTTTAGTTTTGTAAAGAATACCGAAAATAAAAGATTGATGATTGAATCTAGCAAAAAATATAAAACCACATTAAACATTGCTTACAAGAAATATCAGCAAAAGATTGCAGACGATCTTCAGAACCTTTCTAAAAGTGATAACAAATCTTTTTGGAAAATTTTTAATAATGTTCGCAATTCAAAAACAGATAACTTAAATAATATTTCTATTGAATCTTTGTATGAACATTTTAGGGAGTTAAACAAAAACGATGAGGCAGATGAAAATCTTGGAGATTTTGTATTTGATAATGTTTTTATACCAGAAGACATTAATTATATCCTTAATGGTATTATAACCGAAGACGAAATTAAACTCGCTATAAGTAATTTGAAAAATAATAAATCAAGTGGTGATGATGGTGTACTCTATGAATATATAAAGAGTACTGTGAACACTCTTATGCCTGTATGTGTAAAATTATTTAACTTGGTTTTTGATACTGGAGTAATACCAGAAACATGGGATGCTGGGGGGGGGGGGGGGGGGGGGGGGGGGGGGGTGATCTCAGGTACCCCGAAATGGTAAGCAGATCCTGCTCCACATGTGGCATCCGTTGTGTTGCTCATGTTATTACAAACCCGGTAAATAGTCTAATTCGATAGGTCAAATTCGTGAAAAGGGAAGGGGATTGTAGTAACGACTTAAGGAACATATCCGGTATCATCTGTGAAACGGTTATTCCATAACGGTCAACCAACTCGTGATGGCGTTCGTAAAATTAACGAAGTGATGATTTCAACTTCACCATTTGGTACAAGGTCGGACCCAAATTGTTACAGGGGTATTACCTTAAATTCTTGTTTTAGCAAATTATTTTCGTCTATCCTAAATAATAGACTTGGTTAACTATCAGATTGTATCTCCCTTATTTCAAGCTCACATGCTGGTTTTCGTAAAGGACACTCAACACATGCTCAACTATTGATAACATGTTTGTCTTGTACGCCCTAGTCGTTATTTACGTTTCCTTAGGCGGGAAACTTTATTGTACATTTGTTGATTTTAAGTCTGCCTTTGACACCATTTGAAGACTAGGGCTGTGGAATAAATTGCAAAAATGTGGTATCAGGGGTGAAATATTAACTGTTATTTATAATACACCCGTATAACCCCGATACAAATGAATCCGGACGTAGACGCGTTCGATGCGATAATTAGGACAAAATTTGGGATGACAACAATTTCCAATACCTCTCTAGAACTTATTTGAGTATAAAAAAATATGTCAATGTGCATGTTAGTTAATTTATTCAATTATACAGTTGTTGCAAGTTTTAGATATTGCAAAGAACGTTTGATAAAACTGCAAAATGAAAAACGCACAGACATAGTGCAATTTCCTACGTTTTATGAGGTAAACAATGCTGAATATCTTTTCGTACATATTTTTTTGCGTATCAATAACTTAAGCAATAATAAATAACTATACGTTGAATTACTATGTGCCTTCAAATTTTCGCTAGAACTCAGAATAAACGCAATATTATACTAAAAAAATTTTCTCTTACTGTACCGTTCGTTTCAACAAATGTGTCGAGTTCGTTGCTCGGTTTTAAATAATCACTGTACAGTTCGTTGACAAAAACCGTCACACATCCCTTTCTTTATAAGGTATTCGAGATTGCATCGGCGACCCTTTTTCTGTATTTTATTGTAAATATTTATCTGAAAATATCAGTTATCCAAAGCCAAACTCAATGTTTTAACCAGCGTACATCTGACAGGAATTTTTCTATTGAAAATTAGAACTTTCAACGCCGGTTATTCCAGAAGAAATAAACTGTTAATGAATATATTCCAGAAGAAATAAACTGTTAATGAATATATTCCAGATGAAATAAAGTTTCAAAAATATAGTACAGCCAATAAAACTTCAATGACTCTTACTTTTCACAATGTGAGGCTCTTCCAAATGCCGATGTTGGTCTAAGTTCGCCTAAACGAAATCAGCCATAGGAGCTTGTTGAATTCTGTTTTCCGGATGCATTAGATGGCATTCCAACTGTTTTTTTGTTGTTTTTTGTTTGCTCTTTTTTAAAATATAAACATTTGTAGATGTATTATGGTGGCCATTGAGACAACTTTCCACACAAATTTAAATGAAGTCGGTGTTAGTAATTATTATAGTCCAAAGTACGACATTCAACAATGAAGAAAACCTATACCGTAGTCGACTATAAAAGGCCCCGATATAAAACATGTGAAAAATTTAATACGATAAACCTAACGGCTTTATTTATAACTAATGAATTATTTATTAACGAAAAACAAATATGACAGAATCTATATAACCATTGTACTACAGGCTCCTGACGTTGGACAGCCACATAAAGAATGCGACGGGATTAACATGTGAGCCCTCATTCCTCTCCCTAACCTGCGACACTGGTGTAACAGCACAATATGATAAAAACACTGTACGGTTGCGATTGGCTCAACTCAAAATATCGGTACAAGGCACAAAAACAATACACATAAAATATCGAAAGAGTAATTTTAGCAACTGATAGTTATTTCAAAGCAAATTACAGCTAAAAGGTAAATCATGTTATTCAAGAGTAAAGTATCAGTCAGTATATATCCAACGGATTAAGGATAAATACGTAATAAAAACGCATGAATTTTTGCTTTGCAATGCCAAATATAAGTAAACAGTATCGAGAGGATGTACTATCTCATAAGTGTGCATATAATATATATATTGTAATAATATTTAGTGATGTTTTGATTTTTCAAAAACAAATTCAATGGCTATTTAAACAACATCACCGTCAAAATTATAATATGGTATCTAGTTTAATCCGACAGGTACAGCAAAAACTTTCTAGCCAATTTTTTTCTTATCTATGAAAGAATTTGGTAAAGTCTATTCTCATCTTGTGGTTTACACCACTGTGTTAGTTTAAGAAGACGATAGACTTGCAAAAATGTTTAACCCAACCGCATTATGTACCGGTGACCCCAAAGGGTGACTGGGGAATATAGATATGGTCACTTTGGTCTTTTTTCCGACCGGCAGTAAAACCATCGGCACCCGTTTAGCTGTATGGGATGTACAAGTACGCAGCCACGTCCAGACAGAATGGGAATATTAGATCCAAAGCCTCATGTAGAGAGAGCACCACGCTCTCTACACTTCATGAACCCTTGCACAAAAACTCTATGAGGGGTCCATAAATGGCCTGTTGCAAGGCAACTGTTTTAGCCTTATCCAATATACATCATTTTATCCAATGGGAGTC